ATTCCACTGCTGGGGATCTTCCCCAAAGAATTAAAAGAATCATACCACAGTGATATATGTGCACCCATGTTCATAGCAGTGCAGTTTGTAATAGCTGAAACTTGGAGACAGCCCAAATGCCCATCAACTGGAGACTGGATAAAGAAAATGTGGGTTTTTTTACAAAATGGAGTACTACTCAGCCATAAAAAACGAGAAATTGAGAGACTCCAAGTACACGCCACTGCACCCTGTCTGAAAGTACACTTTAAGGTCTGGACACCTACTCTAAAGACTCCCAAGAGGGGACTTTAGCATGGTGCCATTTTAGCTTGAGAAGCATTTCAACAACTTTCTGCACACCAAGATAAAACAAAAACAAAACCCTCAATGAATTGGCACGAGAAATAGAAATCTAGTAAGGTAATTCTGTCCTGTAGGAAAACTGGTTCCCAAATGTTTTCTACATTGTCTTTTCATTTCTCTCTCTTTTATTTATTGTTTTGAGCCAGGGTCTCACTATGTAGCCCAGGCGGCCTTGAACTGTCAGAGATCCTCCTGCCTCGGCCTCCCGAGTGCTGCGATGACAGGTATCCACCACAGCGCCCGGCACTTATTTTTTGTTTTTGTAAGATGTGCTGCCTGACTCTTCCTCACTGGCACAGTTCAGGACCCTGGACCTAAGATACACATGCGCGCAGGCGAGGCGGGAACGCGGGTGGCTGTCGCAGGCTCAGCCCTCCAGCTCCTCCATGACCTCCATGACGATGGTGCGAGGCCCGGTCAGGATGAGGTTGCTCACGGTGCGGTAGTCCACGTGCAGCACGTTGAGCCCATTCACAGACACCACGAACTGGCACACCTGTGGCAACAGAGATATCGTCACTCAAGCAGGCACCACGCACCCACAGGGGCCTCTTTGTTTTGCTTTGTTTCGCTACATAGTTCAGGCTGGCTTCGAACTCCTCTTAATGATCCTCCTACCTCAGCCTCAAGACTGCTAGGACGACTGGTGTTTGTCACCACACCCAGCTATTTTGTGTTTGTGGCATGGGGGACTGAAGCCAGGGAGCCCTAAGCTACCTCCCACCCCTTTTTATTTTGTGCCAGGTTCCCGCTAAGTTGTCTGCCAGCCTTGGACTCATGATCCTCCCGCTTCAGGCTCCTTCACCTGGTCAGGTAGCTTCATTCTTAAAATATCCAACCAAGCCTGGCTGATAGCTCAAGTCCAATACCTTCCAGAAAGCCACACTATCTGGAAGACAGTATAATAGCAAAGGCTTTTATTTTATTTTATTTATTTGAGAGAGGGTCTTGCTGTCTAGTCCAGGCTGGCCTTGAACTCACTATGTAGCCCAGGCTGGCCTTGAACTCACGGTGATCCTCCTGCCTCAGCCTCCCAAGTGCTGGGATGACAGGTGTGCAACACCATGCCAGGTAAATGCACTTATTTTAGTGTTTCACAAATTGGTCTTAAATCTCCACTCAGACTGTATCAGCTTAAGCGAGGGCATGCAGTTATTTATTTATTTAAATACTGGGTCTTGTTATGTAGTCCAGGCTGGCCTTGAACTCACTATGTAGCCCAGGTTGGCCTCAAACTCTAGGCAATCCTCCTGCCTCAGCCTCCCGAGAGCTGGGATGACAGGTATGCATCAGCATGCCTGGCTGGGTTGCTTTCTATGCCACTGAACATGCCACAATACATAAATTTAGACATTCATTTCAAACTTTTAACTTAGATAAAGCAAAAAACAAAAAAACCCCTCAAATTATTTACTGGCCTGATATTTGCAGTTTCATTTTAGAGTCAAAGTTGTCATTGCTCAGTAAGTGCTCTCAGCAAGTGCTGTGGTCCTAGCAGCACCAACGTGCTCTTGCTGGGACCGTACAAAGCGACCTAGCACTGCGGGCATGCACTTGGCTGGGACACACCTTCCATCAGCACCTGCAGGGCACTGCGCTCTGCACATCAACCCACAGTCACGCAGACCACAGGAAGCACCAGCCGGGACACTGCCTCCCAGAGCAGGGGACTACTGAGGAATCTCATTTTCGCCTCCTCGGGCTGGGGTGGAGTGGAATTGCAGGTAAGGCTGCAATGCTGCTCTTCCGCTTGTAATTATATTTACTGTGTCTGCTGTCTAAGAGTAGGCTGTGCATTAGCTTTCTGTGGCTGTGACCAAACCCTAAGGAAAACTTGGAGGAGGAAAGACTGACTCATGCTTTCAGGGTGTCAGTCCACGGAGGGCAGAAACATCACGGTGGATGGCAGGGAGGAGGGAAGCCACACACCTGAGGCAGCCAGGGAAGAGGGAGGAGCTGGGGTGAGGTGGCTGAGGGGCAGCCCGGGGCCCCACATTCTCTCATGGGTCCTGACAGCCCCCACGTCATGGGTTAACCCCTCAGCACCCAGGCACACAGCTGCTGTTTCGCTCCCATTTTCTGATGGGAAATAGAAACTCTGAGGAGGGAAGGAGCCACCCGAGTTCAACCCCCTAGCAAGCGGGGGTCAGGGCTCAGCTCCAAACCGGGAGCCCAGTCATCAGCCCCCCAGAAATGGGCACAAGGGCCAAGGGACCCTGCCTCAGCCGGTGTCTGCTATGCTGCGTGGAGCCCAGCTGTGTGGACCTCCTCCCCATCTACTCCCGAGCCCTGGGACTCAGCGTGCCCAGGAGGCGAAGCCACTGCGCTGGCTAAGGCCCAGGAAAGCCAACAGGCTCTGGCTTGGGAATGCAAAGAGCTCCACGTAATGGTGCCACTGGCCCAGAGGAAAAAGGCAGAAGAAATGTAAAGAGAGAACTGGCTCCGCTCCACGGAAGCCGTTTCCACACTGACAGCTGCCCGGTGTCATGGGACCCCAGGACGGCCCTTCCCTCCCCAGAGGGCTGGGGTCAGAGCCGGGTGGCCCACAGCAAGCTGGTTGTTCCGTCCCTGTAACAGAAACTCTCACACTCACTGGGACCCCAGGGCCAGGACCTAAGTTCTCTACTCTGGCTCGACGCAGAACAGCCAGAGCACAGCGCTCTTCTTAGGGGCAGAAGGAAGCACAAAGCTAAGGAAACCCGCAGCTGTGTGCAGGCCCCAGCCAGGAGGAGCGCCATGGACAACAGACACAGCCCTCTCCCCGGGAGCTGCAGCAGTCGCCTGCCGTGGTGTCCCAAGAGAGCACACTGCACAGTGGACCTCGGAAGGCAGCCTGTGCCGGGCGAGGGACTCACAACAGTAACAGCAGTGCATGGTAGGTGCAGCATGTCTGTCCCCAGCTGAGGAATACAGAGCCCCACCTCTCTGCACACGGCCCAAGGCCACCACTAGCAAGTTCCAGAGCCAGGCTTGGCCTCAGTCCCACGGGTGACTCAACCACAGAGCACTGCACTATGCAAAAAGGAGGGCAGGGATGGGGGCCCAGCTTAGGCCACAAAGTTGGGATGAAACCCCGTCTTCCTGGGATTCTCTTTAGAGATCTGAACCCGGCCCACAGAGGCCCTGTGACTCGTACTGAAGGTCATGTCACCTTCCAACAGGTGGCTCCTGGTTGCCATGGGAACACTTCTGATGTCTGCTTGCACAAAGGACAAACACTCTGCTCTCTGGTGGTTTCCCAAAGCTGTAAGAAGTGCTCAGCTGCCGAAAAGCAGCAGCATATGTATTCTATAACCAAAGCTTCCGTGGAACTTTCTACCACTACAGAGAAGGAATCCATCACCTGAAGCCAATTCTCCCTCACACTCCTATACCTCGTACACACTGCCCGCACTGTGGACACAGGAAGTTCCACCATAACACCTCCTCTGTGGACAGGAAGTTCTGCTATAACACCTCTGTGGACACAGGAAGTTCCTCCATTACATCCTGTGATGGGGGGTTCTCAACAGCAACGGACACATTCTCAACATACATGTCAGCTCCCAGAAGGTGCCCCAAGGTTGTCTTCTTCTCAGATCCCAGGTTCTTTCTCCATAAGAACCCTGTACCCAACTATCTCTTTACCTTAAAATATTTACTACTGACTGTTTAATACCCAAAATTATAATACTTTTTCCCTAGATGATGCTAAAAATGGATCTACCACAGATCTCACATGATTGGTTAGTAACCCAGTTGTAGCACATTACAGTTGGCCATCAGACTGCTGATGGGATGACAGCTCTGTCTTCACAAACACTAGGCATTTTCCACAGATCATCTAACCTCTAAGGGTGCATCGCTGGCTCCTGCTCATTCCTCTTATTCCTCCTCTAAACCAGTGGAGCTCAGATAGGGGCCAAGAGCACACGCACACGTGTGTGTTTGTGTGCCTGTGCACATGTGTGTGAGACACACTGGGGACCAAGTGGGAGGGTCGGGAACAGGGCGCCCCCTTGGGTAGGGTGGATCCCACTCCTGCTCCTTTGCCAGATGCCCCTGGAGGAGCTGGCTACTGGTTGCTGCTCTTCCACCTGGGTGTGGTGGTGCACGTCTGTAACCCCAGCACTTGGCAGGCTGAGGCAGGAGGACCACTAAGTTCAAGGCCAGCCTGGGCTACACAGTGAGACTCTGTCTCAGAAAACCAAAAGAAGACACAAGAGCAGTCTGAGCCCTTGGCCGCCCCGCCCTGAATACAGAGTGGCCAAGGCCCGAAGCCCTGCAGTGCCACACAGCTGGGCACATGTGGCTGCTACAAAGGTGGCTTTGTCCCCAGGACCTGGGTAGCTGGCATCGGGAGCCCACGCCCGCCCGCCCTGAACTTCTCACCCAGACAGATGCTGAGGATCCCAGTGGGTCCCAGCTGGCAGCTCCAGGGCACCCTGCAGCCAGCTCACTGTGGGCGCCAGGGACCCAGTGCCCCGAGAGCCGAGAGGCCCCATGGGCACTGCTGCAGGTTCTCTGTGTTCCTGTTTGTGCTCACTTCAGACAAAGGACAGCGTTCAGGCCCAGTGCCCAAGCGGAGCTCCTGGCCCGGAGCACCCGGAAGTACTTTGCTTTGTTTGTTTTTTTTTTCTTTTTGCTACTGGGGATCGAACTCTGGTCCTTTCACTTGTGAAGCAGGTGGCCCAACCACTGAACTAAATCCCCCGCCCTGCTTTGTTTTTTTTGACACAGGGCCTCACTGTGTAGCCCAGGCTGGCCTTGAGCTCGAGGTGATCCTTCTGCCTCAGCTTCCTGGGTGCTAGGATCCCAGACTTGCGCCCCAACCAGCTTTCAGCAGCTGTTTCAGGCCAGGAAGTGACCTTGGAAACCGAGGCCCATCACAGTGGGGCAAAAAAGTAGTTGATCAAAATCCAAGACACATCTCTGAGCCGCCTTCCTTCCAGCTCCTGAGGGCAAAGCAATGACCATGAGCATCCTATCTCTGGAGTAGGGAACACCTGTGATCCAGCCTTGGGAGGCTGAGGCAGGAGGACTGCCATGTGTTTGGGGCCAGCCTGGGCTACACAGCGAGACCCTGTCTCAAAAATGCAAAAATCAAGGTGGGGGGCGGGGGGGTAAGAGGCTATAGCGGCCCCTGGTTCCTCATTCCGACTCAGTTCGTTTCTACAGAAGGGCCCTAGGAAGCCCGGCCCACCCGTCCATCCCAGCAGGAAAGAAGCTGGGGCTGCCAGGGGCAGCGGAGGCCCAACAGCAACAGCAGCAGGCACAGGGTTTCACTTTTCCTTCAGAGAAAACAGCCTGGGGAGACCCGGCTCATCCCGACTCCTAAGCAGGGCTCAGGCTGTGGAGGGGACAGAGCAAGGAGGGCTGCAGTTGTGCATCTGCTTGTCTGCACACCATCCCAGGTGGACAAAGTGCCAGGGACATGATTCGGCCCTCTCCTCAGGAGACGCAGGAGGTCACGCAGTGTGTCAAGGACTGAGGGCTTCTGGTGGGCAAGGTGGTGCACGCCTGTCACTCCAGCACTTGGGAGGCTGAGGCAGGAGGATCACCTTGAGTTTGGGGCCAGACTGGGCTACAGAGAAAGACCCCACCTCAAAAGGCAAACAAACAAACAAAAAAACAGAAAGGGAACAAAGGAGAAGAGTCACATCCCACGAGCCCTGGCCAATGGAGCCCAAGCGGCCCGTACCTTCATTCCCGCGGCGGCTGCAGGCCCGCTGGGGTCCACGGCCTGGATGTGACATGGCTTACTCCCCCTGACCACGAAGCCCCAGCCCACTGCGTCGCCCACGATCTGGGGGGAGAACACAATCAGCTGTGGGGTGGGAAGAAGGGGAAGGAAGCAGGAGGCCCGGCCGCTCACCCCACCTGGACATGTAATTCACACCCAATTTCTTCCCCAGGTTCATTCTTTTCCTCTGGGTCCAAAGGATGTCTTTTATTTTGAGACAAGGTCTCACTATGTAGCCTAGGCTGGCCTTGAACTCTCTGCAATCCTCCTGCCTCAGCCTCCCGAGTGCTGGGACAACAGGCGTGCGCCCAGCTCCCATGGTACAAACAAGACAAAGCCCGTCAAGTCTGCACGGAGTGGAATTAGGGGGCGGCGCTGTGCCCCCCGCCTGCTCCCAGGACCAGCCTACCGTGAACGTCTTCCGGGCGTAGGGCGCCCCAGGGCTCAACAGCTCCTCTGAGGTGACGGGTCTCTTCAGCACTGCGGACAGAGGGACACAGAGTCGGGACAGCCACTGAGCCCCGCCTCCCATGCGGCCCACTGCACACCGTGGGAGGAGACCCAGCAAACACCTGACCCCGCTCACAGCCCGGGATGCCCCTCTCCCTCTCCTCAGCCCGGCCCCAGCCCACCTCGCCCTCCCACCCGCACTCACCGGACTTGGGGTTGCACAGCACCGGGGGGCTGCTGCTCAGGGTGGGGCTGCTGCTGAAGTAGCCGCTGCTGCCACCACTGCTCAGGCTGCTCCTGCGGCCCGCGGACGCCACCTTGATCTCCTTGCTGGGGCTCACTGTGGGGGACACGGGTCAGCGGGTGCCCGGAGGCCCAGGCGGGAGGAGCCAAGCTCGAGCCCTGGCTGAACAACTTAACAGGCTCAGCGAGAAGTAAGGAGCCTGTCACCAGCAGGGCGAGGGTGGCAGAGGAGCCCACCACGTGCACACGAGTTCGAGGTCGACTCAGGAACCCTCAGGCCTTCCAGGCGGCACCCAGACCTCGGGAGGCTGAGGCAGGAGGACTGCCGGGCTTGCAGTGAGACCCGTCTCAGGAAACAAAGGCTGCCTGCAACTCTGTCGTTTGTGCACTGTTGCTACCGTGGGACGCACCACGTGTGACCGCGTCCCACACTGAACGGCCCGGCTGTGGGTCGCAGTGACCCGGCTCCTGTGCCCTGTGATGGCCGGTGACCCCTCCTGGACAACGGCCCCTCGTGGGGGGCACGGACCCTCTCCGGGTCACTGCAGCGCATGTCCTTCTTGCTATTGTTCGGAGTCCTGGGGATGCAGCCCGGGATCCTCCACCCTTTGGTTAATGCCCGCTTCCTCCTTCGGGTCTGGGGTGGGACCAGGCCTCCCTTCCCTGCCCCTCTGAGGAGAACCTCACCATCACCCTGCTGGGCTTGAGCGCAGCTGGGATCCTCCTGCCTCAGCCTCCCGAGCAGCTGCCATCCCGGCTGGCGCCCACACCCAGCCCTGTTCTGTGTGTCTCGGGTGACAAACCCCAGCTCTCAGGGACAGCGGGCGGCCAAGTACCTGACACAAAGCTGGTGGCCTTGTGGGCATCGTGGCCCTGGCGGCGCAGGCAGAAGGGGCTGTCGTGGGTGTCGGGACCGCCCGGGGCCGCCTCGCTGAGCAGCTCCATCAGCCGCCGTCTGCGGCGGAAGTTCATGCGGAACTGGTAGAGTAGGTTGCTGTCCACGAATGGGCGCCTGTTGGACACTGCGGGGAGATGGCACTGAGGACACTGGGCATGGCCACCCCACCTTGGGGGCTCACGCAAGACCTCAGCTCCAAAGGCAACACACGGGTGCGGCTCTGTCCACACGTGTGCCGCCCACTCCAACGGTGTGCAAGCCAGCGGGGCGTGGCGGGCACACCTGTCATCTAGCATCCGGGAGGCTGAGGCAGGAGGATCTCTAGGAGTTCATGGCCATCCCGGGCTGCACAGGAGACCCTGTCTCAAAAACCCAATAAAGAAATAGAGAAAAAAAGGCTCAAGCTGGACACTGGAGGGCAGGGAGCCAGGCCCCCGGGGTTGCAGAACGCAAAGGTCCGGGTGCTCACATCTCCACACCAGGGCTGCCTGGCCTGCCGGAGACCTCACAGCAGGTGAGCGCGGCAGAGCTGGCTCCGGAGGACCCGGGAGTCAGCGGGAGCCCAGAGCCGCCACTCGGTCACTGCGTGGCTGGGGCTGCAGCCACGGCCTCGGGGGCTCTCGGCCTCAGCTGGGCTCAGTGCGAAACGTGACATAAACGGAGGCGCAGCCCTGCAGTGAGCAGAGAAGGAGCCTCAGCCCGGGTCCCAGGAAAACGGACCCTGTCCCTGCCTGGCCTCACTCTCCGCACAGAGCAGACGTCTTGGCAGACACGGGGAGGAGCTGCACAGCCTGAGAGGCACAGGGCTCTGTCATCCCTGCACTCTGGGAGCCCGAGGTGGGAGGATGCCACGCCAGTTCAAGCCCAGTGCAGGTAGCTTAGTGAGATCCTGCCTCAAAATAAAACAGAATAAATGGGGCTGGAGTGTAAAGTGCTCCCACCCCTTCCACGGAGCCCCGGGCTGGACCTAAAACTCCCCGTCCTAAGTGCTGCAGGTTCAGCCCCACACAGCCTCGGGAGGCCGAGGCGGGAGGATCACCATGAGTTCGAGGCCAGCCTGGACCGCAGAGCTAGACCGGTCTCAGGAAACCAGACAGAGCTAAGCAGAAGAGCTCCGGCTCAGCGCCTCCCCAGCTTGGCTTCCCAGTCGACACCTCCCCCTGTCCACACCACAGCGGGCTGGGCGGCTTATTTTTCTTCTACTTTGGACTCAGCTGTAATAAAAAGGAAAACCGAGCCAAAGCACACACAAGGGCACAGCGGGAAAATTCCCAGAAATGCCACACTACAAAGTAGAAAGGCAGTGTGGCAGCCCACGTCTGTGGTCCCAGCGCTCCAGGAGGATGAGGCAGGAGGGCGCAGGTGCCAGCCCAGCCAGGGCAACTTAGCAACTTAATAAGACCCTGTCACAGTTTAAAAAAATCAGACTTTAAAGGGCTGAGAGCATGGGTTCAACCACCAGTCCCGAGGAAGGGAGGGAGGGGAGTGCGGCTGTGGTCAACACTCCAACATGCGACACTGAGGGTGCAAGGAGGAAACCTCATCCTTTCCCAGTCAGTTCGCCACTCGAGGCAGGAACGACAGCCGGCATCCTCGTCCCACAAGCGAGAACAGGGCTGGCGCACGGACTGCTGGGAAGAGCAGAGGGGCAGAAAGGAGGCTGAGGCAGGAGGATCTCCGTGAGTTTGAGGCCGGCCTGGGCTATAGGAGGAGGCCCTGTCTCAAGCCGCATAACAAAGCTTCTGTCCAAGGTGCTTCTCCTGGCCTGTTGTCTCCACCAGGTTTCCCTACTCTTTCATCTCTGTTTCAGAGAAGCAAACCCCTCTACTTCAGCTTGGCGGTGAAATTCCCTTTGGGATCCCAGCCGAGCTTCCACGGCTCCCGGGTGGGCGTGCGGTACCAAGCCCCGGCCTCTTTTGGTCTAAACGTCTCTTGGGTCTCTTGGTATGCGCAGTCTGGGAACTCCAGCGTGTGGAGGAATCCCAGGCTGGGCCGGGCTCTGCTCCAAGGTCATAGCTGTTGCAGGGGCCTCCACGTGATCCCAGCCACCCCTCCCCAACCAGAGGCTCCGCCCCAGCTGGCAGGGCACAGGGAAGGGCTGCGCTGAGCGGGTGGGCGGCCTGTGCACTGCGACACCACTGGGTCCTCAGCCACCGCCAGGGAAAGGGACTCAGTGCCAGCAGGCGAGGGTGCTGGGATTGTTGCCCACAGCCGAGGCTTCTGCCAGGCCCTGGGAGCCCAAGCAGGGATTTTCCCCTGGCCTAGGGGGCTTACACTCAGGCTGTCAGTTGTTGTGTTTGTTTGCAGAGCTGGGAACTGAACTCAGGGCCTTCACACTGAGACATTCTCAGTCTGCTTTCCACTTTTTATTTTGAGACAGGGTCTTGCTAAGTGGCTAAGTTCCCCACGCTGGGCTCAAACTTGCAGTCCTCCTGCCCCAGCCTCCCAGAGCTCAGGATGCTAGGCGCCCCCATCCCTGTGGTGCTTTGTGCACAGAGCAGTCTGGGGGGCACCCCCTTTCCAGCCCTCCTGACTCCCAGCAGCCCCTGCACTTCTGGCCTACCTGTTTTCTCACTCTGCACCTTAGGGAAAACCTGACACTTAACTTTCAGCTCAGCTCCACACAGAAGCATTTCAGTAAGGGATTAAGGGGGCAGCGCCGGCCGTGGCTGCAGACGCAGGAGCTCTGCAGACGCCAACTGCGAGGCTGGCATGGGATACACATCTGCAGTGCCAGCTACAGGGAGGCTGAGGCAGGAGGACCTAGGGGCACAGCTCCGGGAGAGAATCACCACCTCCAAAAGAAGAAAAAGAAACGAAGAGGAGGTTCGCAAGGCTGAGGCGCCGGGCGACCCAGCAGGCCTGTGTTTCCGTCTCGACCCTGCTGCGAGTCCTCGGGGACAAGGACACTGCGTCCCAGCCCAGCGCGGTGCTGCAGCTGCTCAGGAGGCCTCGTGGTCAGAATGGGATGGTAATGCACAAACTGAAAAATATGAAGCATTCAGAGCCAGGTGTGGTGGCGCAGGCCTGCGAGCACGGCCTGGGGAGGCTGAGCCAGGAGGGTCACTGCGAGTTCCAGGCCAGCCCAGGCTACACAGTGAGACCCTGTCTCTAACCAAACAAAATAAAAATAAAATCTCTGAAGTATTTACTCCCGTGGCTAGTATGTGGTCAACACCAACACATGAAAAACCCACGTATGCATTTGTGTACACGCCGTGTCCCCATGTCCTCACGGAGACACAGGGCATCAGCTGCTCATGCAGAGTTCCGTATGGTGAGTCACTGATGCCCACAGCTGGCTGGGGCTCCCCGGGCAGCTGAGGGGACCCCACTTTCTGCCTGGGGAGCCGCCCAATGACTGCTTTAATGTTTAACCTAGGGTTAATCTTTAGCCAGACTGGTGCGAGCCATTGGAGATAAGCACTGGCCCAGCCCCACCTGCGCACAAGCGCACACACACAGGCATGCACACACACACTCTGCAGCCCCACTTGGAGCTCGGTCTGTGACCAGGCAGTTGCTCCCAGGGACCCACTGTGCTGGGCCCTGTGTCCTTGGAAACTGCAGCTCCCAAAACAGAATGCCGAGCCAGGTGTGGTGCACACTGGCCCCAGCACTCAGGAGGCTGAGGCAGGAGGATCACTGAGAGTTTGAGGTCAGCCTGGGCTCCACAGTGAGACCTGCCTTAACCTCTCACCCCGGGGCTGCTTGTTACGGGGCAGCGCTGGCCTGCGCTCACCATGCTGGATGATGCTGTGCTCCGTGAGCCGCTGGCACAGCTGCTCAGCCTCCTGCCGTGTGGTGGCCTCGCCCTCCTGCACCAGCCAGTCCAGCAGCTCGCAGCCCATGACGGTCCGCTCATAGCGAACACCGTCCTCCTCGCGGGGCTGCAGGAGAGAGCTCTCAGGGCTCATGAGCCTACGGGAGGGAGCAGAGCGAAGCAGGCCGTGAGGTGCAGCCTCCACCCGGGAGCTGGGTCTGAGGCAGCACCAGGAAGAAAAGAGGAAAGGAAGTAGTCACACAGGCTGGCACTGAGGTGCTGTGAGGCTGCAATCCAGCATTCAGGAGGCCGAGGCAGGAGCATCTCCACGAGTTTAAGGCTAGGTAGTGAGTTCAAGACCAAATGAACTACACAGCAAGACCCTGTCTCAAAAACTATATATGGGATGGGCCGGGGATTTAGCTCAGTGGTGCCACCGCCTGCCTCACAAGTGCAAGGTCCCAAGTTCGATCCCCAGTACCCCCCCAAAAATCATATATGAAGTTAAAAAGAGCTTTAAGAGAAAGCCACGTGTTCATACAATGACAAATTACTTGCGTACATGATAACCATTACATGGCGCTAACATTTAAGGAGCCACTCACCCAGTGGCTTAGGGCTCTGGCTTCTTCTGTCCCGAGCCCCCGGGCCTCCTGCCCAGCCTGCAGTCCACACCGGGAAGAGTGCCTCCCCGGGCACTTGGGCTGCACCTCAGGCTTGGAGACCCCGGGCCGGAAGGGAGAGGAAAGCAGGCCCCAGCCTGCAAGCACACTCCTCATTACATCCTCCATGCTGAGACGGAAACCGACCCCAGAGGTGAAGGGGAAAGAAAGGCTTCGGTGACCCGAGGTTGGGCTTCCCGACCCACCGGGTCCCAGAGACGCACCTGCTGCTGTCTCTGCTCTGACTATCTCGAGGCATGGTGGAATCATAGAACATCTGTCTGTGAGCTTAGTTTACTTTGCTTTATTTTGAGGCAGGGTCTCACTCTGTACCCCAGGCTGGCCTTGAACACACTGTGTAGCTCAAAGCCTGAGATCCTCCTGCCTCAGGCTCCCAAATGCTGGGATTACAGGTGTGTGCCACCATGCACGGCAATATTTGTCTGTTTCATGACTGGCATCTTCCATCTATCACAATGTCTTCAAAAGTCCATGCATCCAAGCCAGGGGTAGGGAGGGATGCACACCTGTCGTCCCAGCACTGGGGAGGCTGAGGCAGGAGAATCAGCAGTTCAAGCCCAGCCTGGGCAACTTAGTGATTTGGTGAAACCCTGTCTTGAAATATAAAGTAAAAAAAGGGCCCACGGTTCAATCTCAGAAACAAAACAAAACAAGGAAATGAACAAGAAAAAGTGTTTCCACAGTGGAAGTTGGACAAGACAGATTAAAATGCTTTCTTTCAGCCAGGTGGGGTGGTGTGTGCCTGTGACCTGAGCACTGAGGTCAAGCCTGGGCTACAGGTGAAACTCTGTCTCTGTTAAACTCCAGCTCCTGTCTTTAGGTCCAGTCATCATTAAACCTCTGTAGCTCCCGCCTCCACCTCCCTTTATAATGGGAGCCATTGTGCCTGTCGGGTGGTGGCTGCGGTGACTCAGGGCCACAGAGATAACCTGGGGCCTGGGGAGGGAAAATGTGCCACTGTTTCTTTGTTTGCCACAGGGTCTCAGGTCTCAGGTTCTCCCTATGTAGCCCAGGCTGGCCTTGAACTCCTGAAGGATCCTCCTGCCTCAGCCTCCCGGGTGCTGGGACTTCGCTGTGCATCACGAAGCCTGGTTGAAAATAACGCTGCAAACTCCTAGGTTTGGCAAGGAAGGCACAAACTGCACCTCGAAGTCATATCCTCTTTGATAGCTAGTGAATCATTCGGCAGTGAAGGGGATGAAACCCCCGCCTGGTGCATGGAGGCTGGGGACCCTGACTGGCTGAAGTCCCCCCCTCTTTCCACATTTTTATTTACATTTTTGCCGCTGTTGTTATTCATTTATGTTTTGCTACACTGGGGTTGGAACGTGAGGCTTCACCCTGGGCAACACGCCCAGCTCCCTGCTTTTCTTCTAAACTTTCATAAATTGGCAAACTGCCCAGGCTGGGCTTGAACCAAGAATCCTCCTGCCTCAGCCTCCCTGTGTGCTAGGATGACAGGCCTGTGCCACCATGGCCAGCTGAAATTTGAGTTCTGAGACCTGGTTTTGTTGAAGACAACAGCCCAGGTCAGAAGGGCCCGGGTTCCAAAAGCCCAGCTGTGGAGTTTCAGCTCCTGCTGACCACACAGGGTGAGGGAGGAGCCGCCCAGGGGTGTCCACTCCCCCAGGCGTAACTAGCCACTCCCCAGAGGTGACCCACGTTGGGGTGGGCCACGGAGCTCTCCAGAAGCCAGCAGAAGCCCCGAGAGACCCCAAGGACGAAGGCAGGGCCTGGCCAGAGCTGCAGGCTGGCTTACCATGCTGGGCTCCAGATCTCTGTTGCATGCAGTCTGCATAGGCCGGGAGCTCAGGGGCAGCACCCGAGTCCCGGGAGCTCCAGGGCTGCTGCAGTCCCAGCACAACTCAAAAATCTTGTTACACTCGAAGGGAGGCCAGATTTTAAAGAAAATGATTTCATTCATCAAATCGCCTTTTGTTTTCCATGGTTTTTAAAAGACAGGGTCTCGCTATGCAGTCCAGGCTGGCCTTGAGCTCAGGGCGACCCTCCTGACTCAGCCTCCAGAGTGCTGGGGTTACAGGCACACCCACCACGCTGGGGCACAGTCTCTACCGAAGGACACAGCCTGCGGCAGCACAGCTGGGGTGGGGTGTGGCTCGGGGTTCAAACTCCAGCTGTTACTGTGACGGGGCAGGGGCTGCACCGCCAACCTCAGTGCCAGAGCTGCCAGCCAGTACCTCCCACACAGGCCACGAGGGAGGGGTCGGGCAGCCAGGTCACCCACCCCACGCCCACTCAGCCATCAGACACTGGGCTGCTGTCTCACAAGGAAAACAGCACCCGCTCCTCCTCAAATCCCTCCGCCTCCGCGCGCCCTGCCCCCTTCCCACCCCAAGGCGCTCCTCCCACCTCCCAGTGTCTCTCCTCCCTTAGGCCCTGTTTCTCACCCCGGAGAAACGAGGCCACATCTAAACCTAAACCTGTGCGACTGAACGGAAGGGAGGAGAATGGGAGAAAGTATTGAGATACATTTCGCACAGGCACAAATTCCCAAGATCAATGTGACCACTGGGCGCGGCAAACACATGCAGTACTAACGGAAACATCGGTAATAGTTGTTTTTTTTTAAAAAAAGGAAAAGGACAAACTGGGTGTGACAGTGCACACCTGTAACCCCAGCAGTCAGGAGGCTGAGGCAGGAAGATTGCTGCAAGTTCGAGGCCAGCCTGGGCTGCACAGTGAGTTCAAGGCCAGGCTGAACCACAAAGCGAGAGACCCTGTCTCAAAAAAAAAAAAAAATGTAGGGCCAAAATTTCAAAACTAACAAAAAATAAAATCTTTGAAAAGATGACCTGTTAACGAAACCAAACACTCACATTTGCTTTGACTTTTTCTGAGGTGCTGGGGATTGAGCTGAATTCAGCGTGCCCTGCACGTCAGGCAAGCCCTTCGCCACCAAGCAACACGCTCAACCCCTGCTCTGATAAAAATAAAGTGTCTGGAACTTACCCAGTTATGGTACAGCTGACTCATAAAAATAAAGCTAGTAAATAAGAAAAGTACGGCAGGCGTGCACCGTCCCAGGTGGGGACCCATCAGCCCAGCACTCGGGAGGCTGAGGCAGGACGATCAGAGAGTTCCAGGCTACACAGCGAGGGCAACCAGTAGGAAAGGAACCTCACGCAGCTGCCTCGGGTTCTGGCGAGGGAAGGGGACCGGGCCGGACACCTACTTCTCGTACAGCCGCTGTCCCCGCACGAAGGCCTTGACCTCGGCGTCCAGCGGGAGCGTGCCGTCGTCCTTGCGGAAGCGGTAGAAGAGCTTGGCGTCCTTGAACTCCCTGTGCTCGTCACACACTGCGGGAGGGGACAGCGCGTCGGAGGCCTGGGGCTCAGGGCCCCGTGGAAGAGCCCGGGGCACTCGGCACAGCACCGGGCGGCGGAGCCACCACGCACGCCCGAGTCCTCCCCGCACTCTGCCACCGCCGCAGCCACCGTCCCCAGCCCTTCCCAGCGAGTGCGGGCGGGAGTCAGCCTCGGGGGTGGGGATGTGGAGCCCCGCAAGGTGGCGCCCCGTCACCCCAGCACAGGAGGCTGAGGCAGGAGGGTCACCGCGAGTCCCAGGCCAGGCTGGGCTACATAGCGGGCCAGACCCTCCCTGTCTCACCAACCAACCAACCAGCGAAAAGTCTGTCCAAGGCCAGACCCGTGGGAGAGGGGACGCAGCTGGGAGGAGGCCCGAGGAGGACTGACAGGCTGTTCACTCTCAGCTGGAAAGGTCCGCGGGCTCAGCCCTGCCCGGCTTCTCACCGTGGTGCACGAGGCCCCGGTCCGCCAGCTTCTGCATGAGCTTGACCGCCATCTCGCGGTCGGAGGCCTCCTTGCGCTCGATCAGCCAGTCAATGAGCTCCTTGGCCACGAAGCAGTTGGGGTAGGTCTTGAGGTGGTGCCGCCGGTCCTTGATGACTTTCTCCTCGTGCAGCCTGAGCCTGGAGCGGGACACGTGCCGGGGGGCTTGGTGAGGACACAGATGGTGGACCCACCCGACACCAGGCCAAGCAGGTGCTCCGGGGCCTGGGGAGACCCTCGCAGCCTGGGGTCCCCGCTGGCAGACAGGCCCCAGGGTGCGTCCAGCCCGGGCCTGGAGAGACACAGCCGGATGAAGACATGGATCTCACTGTGTAGCCCTGGGCCCTACAGCGATCCTCCTGGCTCAGCCTCCCAAGCGCTGGGACTGCAGGCGAGCGCCACTGTGACCGGCTGAGAACAGGAGTTCACAAGCCAGGTGTGGTAGGGAGGCTGCCAGGGTGGTGCACACCTGTGATCCCAGCAAGTGGGAGGGTCAGACGTTTGAGCCCCGAGTTCGAGGCCAGCCTGGACCACAGGACGAGACCCGGATCTCAAAAGAAAACATCCCAACGTCTCCACAGAGCCACCCACGGATCAGATCGGATCCGGATTCAGATTCGGAAAAGCAGGAGGGAGGTGCCTCATGGTGAGAAAAGATAAGAATCTGAGGACACAAAGGGAAGTTGGCACCATTATTATGCAAATTATGGGCTGCAAGGTCAAATTACTGGGCTGTGGATGGAAATTCTGGTGACAGAGAAGGGGCCACAGAGGAACAGAAGCAGCTCACACAGACCTGGGCTGCCTGGGCCATCTTCAGGGAGGAAAAGACAGTGGAGCCCAGTGTGGTGCCACAGCCTGCCAGACCAGCACTCTGGAGGCTGAGGCAAGAGGATCCCCCCAAGCTCAAGGCCAGCCCAAGTCAGGAACCAAATCAATAAATAAAATAGAAAGGAGTCGGCCCTCATTCTTCAAAAGTAGGCATTGGCCTAAGTGTGGAAGGAGTCCTCTGAGTCCTCAGGAATCCGGTGCAGAGGACGCCGAGTGGCTTGGTGGGCAGGAGGGTGACAGGGACTCGGCTGTGTCCTGCCCAGGACAGCGCAGGGCCACTGTCAGGGACCGGGATGGAGCTGACTCAGAACCTCTCAGGGCTCAGGGTCCCTGGTGACTTCCCCAGCTATTCTGGGGCCGTGCTGTGTGACCCAACCCATCGGGTCCCACCTACCCAAGCTCAGCCAATTCTCAGGGATTCTCCCACTCACTCATGGACTCCTACCCTGCTGGCAACGCCCAACTTGCTCTCTTTCTGCCCAGATTTCTGCACCAGGCAGTGGTGGTATACACCTGTCACCCTAGCACCCGGGAGGTTGAGGCAGGAGGATTACTGTGTGCTGGAAGCCACCTTGGGCTACACAGTGTGACTCTGCCTCAAAAAAGTTAAAAATTAAGGAAAATTCTCCCCAAAATAAATGGGAAGTCTCATAATTTAGAAGGCAAGAGGAAGAGGCAGCGACTCCTGTGGTGGAAGCCAGGCACAGAAAGCCACCACCATGGTGGAATCCTGGAAATGCTCTCCAGCCCTGGGTGGGGTCTCCTTGTTCCCCACCTCCCAGTGACCCAGAGGCCCAAACTGACCTTGAACTCACAGGGATCCTCCTGCCTCAGCCTCCAAGAGCCAGGATTAGAGGTGCCACACCACCCCTCCGAGCCCGAGGGCTTTCCAGGCTGGGGCTGAGAGAGGCCCAGGGAAAGAGGAAGCTGCAGCCACCTCTGGTCTTGGATCCCATTTCCCTGGGCTCAGCCCAGGAGCCCACAGCAGGAGCCGCCCTGAGGACCAAAATAGATCAGACCAGGCCCCGCATGGAAAGGCTCCAGGCCCTACTCCTGATAGTGCTGTCTCCAGCTGGCGGACACCTGGCTTGGGGCTGCCGTCTACACCAGAAAACACAAACACGAAGGGCGGCCAGGGCCAGAAACTTCGGCCCAGCCTTCAATCCCAGTGCCCCGAAGGCTGAGGCAGGAGGATCGCCAAGAGTCTGAGGGCAGCCTGGGCTCGGGAAGACAAAACACAACATTGCAAGCGTCTTCTGGAGCCCTGGGGACCTGTCAGATCCTCCTGAGCCATGCGGGGCCTGAAGGCCTGGCAGGACCGAGACACCTGCATGGTGGCCCAGCGAGGTGGCCCAGGGCCAGGGGGCAGAGACGGCCTGTGTCTGCCCACGGAAGGCAATGTTCTCGTGTGGCTCCACCACAGCCCAGCCAGTGTTCCTGTTATTTTGTTGTTGTCGTCTTGAGACAAGGCCTCGCTGTGTAGCCCAGGCTGGCCTCACACTCTCAGCGATCCTGCCGCCTCAGCCTCCCGAGTGCTGGGATTCCTGGGGTGCGCCACCACGCCCGGCTAGATTCAGGTTCAGTCAAAGCCCTACACTCTAGGAATAAATTCATTTCCCCAACAGAGTGGAAAAAGCATTCGTCTACTTTTTGTTTGCAAAAGCTGTCACCCTGGAATGCGGCCTCCTATTACACACGGCTCTGCTTTCAATTTCCTTTAGGGTTAGGTTTTTCAAGTCCCCACTCAGGGAAACAAAAGCGCAGCGGGCGTCCTCTCATGGTAGGGACCAACTGCTGCTTTGGGCTGAAGAACCTAGTAACCAGGGTGAGCTGGTTATTTAAATGCTGTTCTGACCCCATGTGTAACATGAGGGTTACAGAGGTCAATCAGTCCGATAAACTCCAACAGATCCATGTGTTTAGAAGAGAGATGTTAAGTGGAGCGTGGTGGCACACGCCTGTCATCCCCAGCACTCCGGAGGCTGAGGCAGGAGGTTCTCCATGAGTTCCAGGCCAGCCTGGGCTACATAGTGAGTTCAAGGTCAGACTGAACTACACAGCAAGATGCTTTCTCAAAAACAAACAACAACAACAAAAACCAAAGTAAAACAAAAGAATATCTAGACTATCTACTATGTAGAGTTTCTATAAAGATTAAAATTATTAACATGTATAAAGCACTTGAGGTACAGTCTAAGCATCACTGATTTTTATGATTTTTGGGGGGGTTGGGGATAGAGTCTTGCTATGTAGCCCACGATGGCCTTGAACTTACAGAGATCCTCTTGCCTCAGCCTCCTGACTGCTGGGACTACATGGTTCGCCACCGTGCTCTGCCCACCATGGTGTTTGCTGCGGTTTGCACCGTTCCTCCCAGGAGGACGATAGGGCAGGGAGCTCCCCAGTGCCCATGGCGCACCCTCTCGCAGTGGGCAGGTCCCCCCCCCACCGCAAGGCTGTCGGCTCTGAGATTTAACCCCATCGGGTTGGGTTTCTGTGCACTGCACTAATAGGCATGGAGAAGTCAGTCCCGCCCGCCAGGCACCGATGGTATCAAACTAGCAATAAATATCATAGCACTCTTTGGCCAACCAAAAAGAAAGCAATTAAGAATTTTTAATATTTTTCCAGCCAGGTGAGGTGGCACTCGCCTGTCATCCCAGCATTTGGGAGGCTGAGGCAGGAGGATCACCATGAATTCAAGGCCAGGCTGGGCTACATAGTGAGACCCTGTCTCAAAAAAACAAAAAAGAGGGCCGGGAATTTAGCTCAGTGGTTTCGCTGCCTACTGCACAAGCGCAAGGACCGGAGTTCAATCCCCGTTACCAAAAACAAAAACAAAAATGAAAAAAAAAAAAACAAAAAAGAAAAGAATAAAGTCACTATAATCAACAGTAAGAGGACAGCCGGGGACAGAAGGACACACTGCAACCTTAAGGAGGGTGGCCGGGCTCCTGCCCCCCAGGGCCAAGAAGCCAGGCTGCATCCACTGGGTCACCTGGGTCTCCCATGGGACCATGGTCCCCCATGGGAGGCTGCTCCAAGTTACACAGAGCTCACTGAGCAAACCACTCTGCACCAGCCCCAGCTCACAGGGCTGAGGTGGAAAGCTTGGGGTTAGCGGGAGGTGAGGGTCAGCAGCCAGCAGCCGTGGCTGGGGGAGATGGGGGTCCGGAGTCCCAGCCACAGCAGCCAAGGTCCCAACTCAGAGAGCCCTACACCCGCAGGCACCCGCCACCGCCCTGCGGCTGGTTGGTTTGGAGTCAGGACCTGCTCAGAGTCCAGGCTGGCCTTGAACTCACAGGGATCCTCGTGCCTCAGCCTCCTAGGGCTGAATTCCAGGTGTGGTCACCACGCCCAGCCTCCTCCATAACCACCGAGTGCTCAGCCGGGCCTCAAGCCCCCAAACAATGGAACCCATGCTCAGCCACAGAGTGGCCAAGCAGAAATTCACGGCCACAGCTGCATCCTGTGTCACGGGAGAGCCAAGGAAGGGCCTGGAGCTGTCACGGGTCCACAGGGACATTCAGGCCAGGTGTGGTGGCACACGCCTGTCATCCCAGCACCCGGGAGGCTGAGGCAGGAGGATCGCCCTGAGTTCAGGGGCAGTCTGGTTACATAGTCAAAAAATTTTTCTTAATAAAAAAAGCAAGTAACTTTATCTAACAGAGGACTTTAAATCGGAAAAGCTATATTTCTGTTCTCAGTTAGAAACTTCTACAGGAGGCCAAGTTTGCACCTGGACCACACTTTATTTCTTACTTTTCCTGTGGTGTTTTGAGTCAGGGTCTCACTATGTAGCCCAGCTGGGCTCACACTCTCAGCGATCCTCCTGCCTCAGCCTCCCAGTGCAGCTGGACCACACACTTTCAAACTCAACCAGGGCCAGAAGCCAGGGTTTCACCCTGCACATTCAGCCCAGTGAATTCTGACTCCCACGTTTCCTTTCTCCAAACTCCAGCCCCTCTGCCAGGGCCCTGCTCCTTCAGAGCCGCAGAAGCCGAGGCCGGGGAGCCCGGCCAGGAGCTGGCGCAGTGCCCCGCCGGCCACGCGGTGTGGCTGCGGCCCAGGCGCGCAGGACTGGCTTCCTTCTCTCCTGGCAAACTGATTTATGGCCGCGCAGAGGGCAGCTGCAGAGCCAGCCAGGACACGCGCAGGGTTTTGTTTGTCGTGCTTTGGTTTTGAGACAGGGTCTCTCTGTGTAGTCCAGGCTGGTCTCAAACTCGCTGCGACCCTCCTGCCTCAGCCTCCCGAGGGCTGGGATCACAGGTGTGCTCCCCACGGTGGGCCAAACATTCCCAGGAAAAGGGACAGGTAGGAAGGCGGGAGGCCCTGAGTCGGGCTTGGCCTGCATGGTGACACCCGCCAAGGGTTACTCTCCACCAGCCAGGTGCCACAGCCGCGCCGCGAAGCTGGCCTCAGCCCGGGACGTGGTGCTGCCATGGTCCCCTCGCGGACCCAAAGCAGGACTGAAGGTGTGCCAGGAGGGCCAGGGCGGGGCCCGGGGTGCCGGGGGCTCCGTGCGTGTAGCCTGCACCACCGTCCGCAGGGGGCGCCCCGTGGACTGCTCCCTGCGCCGCTTTTGCGCTGCTGCGGTCCTGAGACAGGGTCTCCCGGTGCAGGGCAGGCGGGCGCCAACTCGCAGAGATCCTCCTGCCTCGGCCTCCCGGCGCGGGATGACAGCGCCCGCCCCGCCTCCACGGCACCCGGCCGTGCCGAGCCCTGCGCCCGGGGCTGTCACCGAGGCCGGGTCGCGGTCGCCCGGGAAGGACCGGGACCGGGACAACGCCGCGCGCCAGTGCCGCCCGCCGTCTCCTACCGAAGCTGCTCCCCGGTGACCAGGACCTCGGCCATGCGCTCCAGCTCCCGCTGCCGCGCGCCCCCGCCGGGGTGGCCGTCGCCGCCGCCTCCCTGCTCCATGGTCCGCAGCGCTCGGTCCCCGCGCTGGAGCCTGGCGCCGCGATCAGCCTGCCCGTACCGAGGCTGCGCCCGCCATCTTTGTTCCGGGCAGGCCCGGAGCTCGCCTGCGATTGGCTGGAGAGGGAATCCCGGCCCTGACAATCCCGCCTTGGGGGCGGGGAAGAAGAGCCCGCGTGGTCGGGGACGGGGGCGAGGGAGGAAATATAAACATGTGGGCGGGGCCGGGGCGGGAGCTGCTCGGTACCCAGCCGCTGCCCTGGTGTTCTGTGTTTCACCGTACTTTTGTTGTTGTTCTTGTTGTTGTTTTTATTTTTCCAGGTTTTTTGTGGGGTTTTTTGACACAGGGTCTCGCTGTGTAGCGCAGGTTGTCGTTGAGCTCACTGTGTAGGCCAGGCTGGCCTCCCGCTAGAGGCGATCTTCCTCAGCCTCCCAGGTGCTTGGATTGCAGGCGTGTTCACCACGCCCAGTTTAAAAATTAATCTTGAAAGATTAATTTCTTCAAAAGCTATTCTGTCTCCTACAGCAGCTCATATTCTTCTGCTAGTATATTATTCTTTTATCATTGTGTGTTTAAAGAAACACCCCAGCGCCTTTCCCAGCGTCCCTCACGGTTATTCCTTACCTGAGCTGAAAACTTGCAGACGTTCGCCGCCGGGCACCTGTTCTGAGCTTGCAATTGCACAAACGCCTCCTTTAAATCATCTAATTAACCACACCAAGCTCTCGAGAGTTCGGGTTAATGTTTCAGACTCAGAGAAGAAGCTGAAGCAGGGAAGAGTGAATTTGCCCAAACTGACCACCGGGGCTGTAACTGTGCGTGTGGTGTGTGGTACTGGGGATTGAACCCTGGGCCTTTTCACTGAGCTGTGCCCCCCGCCCTCTTGTTGTCTTGAGGCAGGGTCTTCTCTCAGGTTGCTAAATTACCAAAGTTGGGCTCAAAAATTTGCAATCCTCCTGCCTCAGCCTCCCAGAGTGCTGAGAATACAGGCGTGCACCACCACATCTGGCTGGTTACTCTTTTGCTGAAGGAAATCACCCAAGCTTCTTAACTTTTTAAGCAGACCGTGGTAGAAATATAATCAAGACAGACACAGCTCCAGGTAAATGTGATTCTAAAAGCTTCATTCTGCATAAGCTATAAAAATCTTTTCACAAACCGGGGGTGGTGGTGCAGACCTGTCATCCCAGCACTCAGGAGGCTGAGGCAAGAAGATCTCAGATGAGTTCCCCTCCCTCTCCCTCCATCTCTTTCAGATGCATTCCAGCAACAGAACTTGTTAAGTTTATAGTTTTTTAAATGTCCCATAACCTGAGGGAACAATGCAAGTCAGGGCAATCCCTGCCTCTGGTTTGATCTGGGAGATGCGGTTCTTGGGCTCCACCAAGGCAAAGCCAAAGCTGGATCTTGACCCAGAGAAAACCCGGAAGCAGCTTCTTCCTAGCCCAGCCTCCCATGTGCCAGGCAGGGGCTGAGCCACGCAGCCTGGAGCCTGGACCACCTGGCCCTGAGCTGTGCTCTGAGCTCCTGATCCGACCGCCTCCTCTTTCTGAGACTGGGTCTCACTCAGGAGTCCAGGCTGGTCTTGAACTCACTGTGTAGTTCTTGGGGAACCTCCTGCCTCAGCCTCCTGAGCACCAGTAGCCCGGCGCTTGTGTGAGTTTCAGGCCCCAGTTTGTCACAGGTTCTGTGTCCCACGGATGCCCCGGCCACACAGCCCTGCCCGGTGCCTTCCTCACACGGAGCAGGGACCGAGGGCTGGGGTCTGGGAGATGGTGGACGTGGAGGTCGAGCCCCAGGGAGAAGACGTGAGCTGCAGGCCCAGACCAGGCGGCAGGGTGAAGGCTGCAGCCACCATCCATGCCCGGTGCTGTCCCTGATCAGAGATGCACACGGCCACCGGGCCAGCCCTGTAGCTTCCTGTGAGTTTGCATCTCATGGGGGGTCCGGTGCCTGAACAATTCGTGGAAATCGTCATTCTTTAGCTGCCACAGCTTTTACCCTTTCCCTGTGAAGGCAAGAAACTTCTGGTTTAGCAACATCCTGCCTGGATATTTCCGTCACTAGAAGCTGTGAGAAGGGGATGTGGCCTTAAAGTATAAAGACAGAAACCACTGGAGGCGCACTCACCTGTGATCCCAGCACTCAGGAGGCTGAGGCAGGCGGTTGCTGCAAGTTCGAGGCCAGCCTGGGCTGCTCAGTGCGTTCAAGGCCAGCCTAGTGAGACCCTGCCTCAAAAAAAAAAAAAGAGTGAAAACAATAAATAAAGATTTCCATATCCTCATCATTCACAGCTATTTTTAATATTTTTGTCACATCTGTCTCTCGTTTTATTTTGTTTTTGTTTTTGTTTGAGACAGGGTTTTGCTATGTAGCCAAGGCTGGTTTTGAACTGACTGCGTAGTCTGGGCTGGCCTCAAACTCCCTGATTGCCCTGCCTCAGCCTCCCAAATGCAGAGATTGCAGCTGTGCACCACCACACCCGGCTCGCCTCTTACTTTTGCCCAACTGGGAATAAAATCCTGAGAGTAACGCCCAGCCCCTCCTGGTACCGGTTACTGCGCGTCCCGGGAACCCTCCCTCCAGCCCGGCGCTTTCTACGTAGCGCCTTGGCCTGTGCTGCCGCCTAGCGACTGCGAGCGCAACGACACCGAGGGCCCGCAAGTCGGCGGCAGAGCACCTTCAGGGCAGCTGTCAGAGAGCACGCGGCCCGCGCGTTTGGAGTAGAAATATATTATATAGCTAGTTTTGTTTTGTTTTGCGTTTCTTTTTTTGAGACAGGGTCTCACTATGAAGGCCAGGCTGGCCTCTAACTCACGGAGATCCTCCTGCCTCAGCCTCCAGAGTGCTGAGGTGACAGGTGTGAGCCACCATGCCCGGCTATATTTAGCTAAATTTTAAAATGCCAGATATAAACAAGAAGTGACGGGCGTATTCAGCGAACCACTGTCTTCATCCTCTTACTATTAGAGTGCTCGTTATTGGTGTTTCTGTTCACCTTTATTTTCTTGTTTGTGAGTAGTTCTGACAGCGGCTGCCTCTGCATGACCCCATGCACACGTCAATGCTGAGCAGCCCGGCGCTGTTTGTATTACCAGGGCCAGCGCAGGGGCCTCTACCACCGAGCTCTCTGGCCCTTTGCATTATTTATCAATTTTCATACTAGGGGTTGAACCCAGGGCCTTCTCCGAGCTGCATATCTGCTCTTTTTTGGTTTTTCTTTTGAAAAAGGACCGGCCAGGTTGATAAGCTTCCTAGGCCAGGCTCCAATTTGCAGTCTTCCTGCCTCAGCCTCCGAGAGTCCTGGGATGACTGGTGTGGTCACCAGGCCTGGGCCCTTTTTAGGTTTTTTGAGAAAGAGTCTTTCGAAGTTACCAAGGCTAGCCTGGCATTTGTGACCCTTCTGCCTCAGCCTCCTGAAAAGCTACAGTTATAGGCATGCACGCCCAGGCCAGGCTCCAAATATACACTATTTTATTACATATGATTCCCTTTCTGCCATTCTTCTGGTACTCCATGAAGTGTATCACCTGAATGTTTAAAATTAGATACAGCAGCAATGTTATATTATCTGTGAATTTAACATAAGAAAATGAAACAAAAATTACATACATATCTATTATTTTTAAAGGAGACATTGAGTTCAATGTGCTCAGGAGGCTGAGGCAGGAAGATCCCTGTGAGGTTGAGGCCAGCCTGGGCTACATAGTGAGACCCTACCTCAACAAAGCAAAGCAAAACAAAACAAAATGGCTGGGCATGGTGCTGCATGCCTGTCATCCCAGCACTCAGGAGGCTGAGGCAGGAGGCTCACTGTCATCATGAGTTCCAGGCCAGCCTGAACTGCATGGCAAGACCCTGTCTAGAAAGGAAGAAAGAAAGAAAGAAAGAAAGAAAGAAAGAAAGAAAGAAAGAAAGAAAGAAAGAGTGAGAGAGGGAAACACTAAGTGGTCAAAAGTCACTAAGAGGCTAGAAAAAGAAGAGGAAAGGGAGCAGAAGTGGGTAATATTTTAAAAATATTCCTTCTGCTTTTCCTAAGGGGCCTTAGGAGTGTTGCGCAGCGCCGAGAGCTCCACTTCCTGGTGGCAGCAGGTTCTCAGTGTGCACATGTGTCAGGACATCGAGCCGAGCTGGGCACGGTGGCACAGGCGTGGAATGCTGGCATTCTGGGAGGCTGAGGCAGGGGATCACAAGTTTGAGTCCAGGTTGGGAAATTTAACAACTTAGCTAGACCTTATCTCAAAAAATAACAAAGTTTAAAAACTAATATTGTAGATGACAGTGTAGGCAAGTTCAATTCCCAATATCACAAATACCTCACTAACTAAATAACTACTAACGTAAGAAGTATGCTTTAAATGGGTACAGTTTACTGTACTCAATTCCTATCTCAGTGAAGTTCATTCACAAACAAAACAAAGAATCACAGAAGATTAAATATTACATGGCTTCCTAATATGAGAGGCCTCAAATGTAAATAATTTAAAGAGCAAAATACAAGAGACAGGGAAGAAATGGAGGTAGATGGTGTGGTGGCACACACCTGTGATCCTGGCACTCGGGAGGCTGAGACAGGAGGATTGCCAAGAGTTCCAGGCCAGCTTGGGCTACATCTTGAGTTCAAAGCCAGCCGGAACTACATAGCAAGACTCTGTTTCAAAAACAAACCAGCAAGGTCCGGAGTTTGATCCCCGGTAGCAAAAAAAACAAAAACAAAAACAAAACAAAACGCAAAAACCCAAATAAAAAGAAAAAAAAGAGAAAGAAAGGGAGGGAAACTGTGTAGAAAGGGCAGGGGATGGCACTCCCCCACTGACAGAGGTTACTGTGTACACAAGCACATACTAATTAAACATTGCTTTTCAAACTCCAAGCCAGAACTCCCCAAGATGCGGGGCTGCAGAGCAGAGGTTGTGTGTGGTATGTTGGGCTTTTGCAGGGCTTCATTCTACAGGAGATCCGAAGCCACTTGGAATGCTGCGACCCAACTTACATCTATGTCTGTTTGTTTTTAGACAGCATCTCACTAAGTTACCCACCTGGGGTTCGAACTTGTGGTCCTCTTGGCTCAGCCTCCCTGATTGCCGGGATTATAGGCCAGCATCACTGCAGGGGTTTTAGCACCAGTGTAGTGCTCAACTCCGTCTGTATTTGATACCCGCTATTTCTGATTCCTCCTCTAAGGCAGCGGACAATGCATCAGGTTGCCCTGGGGAACAGGGACCAGTGCTCCATGCTAATCTTCTCAGCAACCAAGCTCTCTTCTGCTAAATCTTTTTGGGGACTTTTTCATGGCAAAACAAAACTTTCACAATAGAATTTTTGCTCTTGATTGTCAGTATGAACCTGGCTGAAAGCCCCCAACAGTATCCATGCCACAGACTGAACACTGGGCTACTTTGGAATTTTCTCCATCAGATCAATTCGTTGGCGGCCCTTAATCTCAGTCTCCTGCAGTCGCTGGACAGGAGCGCAGTGTAGACAAATTTTCTGCCAAGCATAACAAAAACAGCCTGGAGTCCACCTGGCAATGGAGTCCTTGTTCCCAACTGAAACCTCCTGAGCCTGGTCTTTTCCGTCTGCTTTGTGAGCAATCTGGTCTCAAGTTCCGACCAGGATCTCCCTTCAAGCTCTGTTTGCAGAATTCTGAGGCTTCTCCAGACTTTTCCGAACTCCTCCTGCAAGCCAGTTCCGAGGGCTTCTGAGCCACACGGCCAGGTACCAGAATGTGCCTCAGTCACTTGCTCCTCCTCCCTGAGACCCACAACTAAAAGGAAGACGGGTTTATTTGGCTCACAGTTCGTAGAGGTTTCAGCCCATGTTCGGCTGGCTCTGAGGCAGGGCGGCCTGCCGGAGGAGAGCTGCTCACCTCATGGTGCACAGGAGGCAGGAGCGAAGGCAGAAGGCAAACCTGACTCTTCCGGCCGGCCCACCCCCTACAGCAGGTCGGCCGCAATCTCCAGGATTCCTTCACCTTGCAGACGCCCCCTCTATGCGGGCACGGGGCTTTGGGGGCATCCAGATCTAAGCTTACTCATAAGCAGACTGCCTCGGGGGACAGAGCGGGGCTCGGAGTTGGGCTGCCGGCCAGGCCTGTGGGCAATGCCCGGGACCCCCTCTTCCGGCGTACTTCCGGCTGTGGGGCCTTTCTGCTTAGTCTGTGCCTGCAGTGGTTGATTCGCTTCCTAAAGATCACTTCTCAGGCAGCAGCCACCTTTATGTTCACCCTGCTGCTCCATTTGTTTCTGAATCTCATATAAGTTTGGATGTCTTTCTTATTTTTTTGTTTTGTTTTGTGGCAAGATCTCGCTATGTAGCCCAGGCTTGATTTGAACTCATGGGGATCTTCCTGTCTCAGCCTCCCAGGGCTGGGATGACAGGCATGCACTACCAGGCCTGCCTGATGTTTTAAAAGAGAGAGTTAACGAGCCAATAAATCACCTCAGCACCAGGCAGACACAGGGTGCCCTTCCCGAGCACGTTCCTATTATTTCATCCCAGAGCAAAACCCAAACGCGCCGCTTCCCTTACTTGGCCTTTTCCTGGCCAGCGCGGCCAGGGTGCTGGTGAGCGCGGGTGTGCACGTGTGTGTGTGTGTGTGTGTGTGTGTGTGTGTGTG